TTATTTACCACATGTTTTAACATAAAAAAAATCTGCATAGTGAAGAATTGCGGGTGTGAGAATTAAGAAACTTGTAGCTGTGGCCAAAGACAGTTTGGGAACCCAGAGGAATTGGAATGTCCGATGCTGGAAGTCGCTACCAGACAACGGCTAGTGAAGACTCAGGAGATTTCATGTGTGTAACTCAGCGAGACTGTCGTAGGTATTTGCGGTTACGTTCTGTTAGCTTCTAATAAATACAGTTACGATTCCAAACCCCGTCTCTGAACACACTCAACCATGTTACAGTATGTATATACATATATATACACGTATATAAATATATATTTAGGGGTGTAACTATGGGTATGAGTCGAATATTTGATTTATTGACCACTCTAACACACAACTCATACCTACATTTAATTAAAGCACTATTGCTGGACTATACAATTTACAGATGGAAAAGTCAAAGTCAAAATTATGTTACGAGCGACGGTCAGTCGGCCAGTCTGTCTTGGTGTGAAGCCCTCATCTGGGGCTTACGACCAGATTTGTATTACTGTCAGACAGTTGTGGGTCTCTTGGTGTGGCGTGCTCTCTCTGACGAGAGGACGGGTCTGTCGTTTGCAACTGCTGCTAGCCCTCGCCAGCGCAGTCATTCTCGGATCCGAGTCCCGTGGGACTCGAGATCATATTTTGCTGTCTCAGATTCGAGACTCCCCCAACCTGGAGGGTCAGGTCCCCGCATTATATCCCCCAGGAAGAGGGTGGCCCCAGTAATACCCCCAGGCACTGGGTTCCCTTTTCGTCGCCTCCTACTACTCGCAAGGCTATGGTGGAGGTATTTGAACCCGCCTCCACGCGGGCACCGCGCTACTGCGTTCGGTGTTTTTGCATTGAAATCTTGACATTCTTGCATGGCGGAGGTAAACAAAACGGAAAATAAATTCTGGCGCCTGGATTTTCGATCAGCGAGTGTCTTACACACAGCGTGGAACAGAAGGGTAGATGAGAATGAACCTCCCGTACATAGTATGGTCGAAATCAGTCAAAGAGTTTTCAAGTAACGGAATTAGGTAGCACAGAAATCACTTGTTTTTAATTCCCGCCTAAAAAGTAAGGTTTAAGGAAAAGCTATTATGGCTTATAGATCCGTTGGTGAGCGGTGACTCTGTGAACATAGCCGTTGCTAGGTAACGGCTCGGTAGACACATTGCTGCGGAAATTAATAAACATGTCAACTATCCGGGCTATCGCTAGGTAACCGTCTACAACAACAGTAGAGGAATTGTTGTAAACGGTGTTTTCTGTTTGGTCCGTGCAAAGTGGTTATCAGGAAGACAACTGGGTTAGATGCAGATAGTTGAGAGTTGAAAGTCCGGTTGTGAAGAAAATGGTTAATTGCCAAGATTGCGGCTGTGAAAAGAAGACTGTATGTGTGCGGTGTTTACAGTGAGACTGTTATAAATTCGTTGCCAGGATACGACTAGTGAAGTCTAAGAAGACAATGTGTCCTAGTGATTTGTAATGTGGAAATCAGCGATAGCGCTGTGTTGCTTGTAGTTCCGTGTCGTGTCAATAAATCAAATTATCCAGTCTATAGTAACACCCCTAAATCGTGACACTATTAAATTTCCCCTGCTGATTATGTTGCAAACATTTAGCGAGTTACACTCGAGACATGCGCAGAAAAGCGTCTAGCTCTTCATGTGAAGTGTCCATTATTTTTGTCTGATTTTGAACACAATTAGCGTCAGTAAATTTGAGTAAAACTCCCGAGGATCCGTGTTACGAAAGTTAACCGACACATTCTTTGTGACTGTCCATTTGGAACGCGCTGAAAACTTTGAAAACACGAAAACAAGAGAGAGACTCAAAGGAGGCTTTCCGTTCAGAAACACGGTGCCTCGAGGCCGTTCTCAACAGAATGTACCGTGGGTTTGGTCAACTAACTGAGACAAGGGCTGTACGGTGTGTATGGGTAATGAAAATGCTTTAGTTACAGTGCGTCACCCTCCCTTCCAGCTGCAACCACCGCCTTGCTGTTTCCTGCTTCTCACTTCTGCACATACGCAATTCAGAGGCGAGGTCTAACAGCGCATCCTGTACGATATTGAATCGTCAGACCTTCGGAAGATTAATATATAGATTGTAGACTAGTTAATTACGTGTTGGGCGTTGTATCTTGTCCATCACGACAGACGTTAATGTTCGGCAGAAAGGGACAGCTAAACAAGTCGTTAGTGCATTGGCTCTTAGGAGGGGCGCTTTTGTAACGCCTCTGTCTGCGCTAACTGAAGAATAGCAGCTTCAGAAGACGTCCGGCGTCCATTGCCGTCACGTTTCTTGCTGACATGATACTGATGTCATGTCAGAGTGGCGTCGCGATGCTCGCTCCAGCTTCCTTTATCCTGACTAAGGATTTTCGTGTTTATCTTCAGTCACTACAGTACGTATATTAGGCTACAGTTGCTTCTTTTCAAATCCTTTCCAATTCACCCAACGACTCCGTGCTCTCTACACTAATACTGAGAGTTTCGTAAAGCGACCCACAAAAAGTCATATCTGTAATTAGTGGAAGGGGTATCAGTGGTGGAAGAACCGAAGGCGAGAATGAAAATAAGAAACGAAAAGTTTGCGGAGGATTTGAAGATATCAGAGGAAGATGATATGAACACGATCTACGAACGAATGAAGGTAGAATTCCAAAAGAAAATTTTAAACATGGAACTAAGAAGAAAACGCCTAAGAGGAAGACAGAGATTGAGATGGAGAGGGTAGATTAGGATATATATGACACAGAAGGAGACTATAACGTGGGACAAACTGAAGGGCATGAGCTCTGGGAGGCCAGAGTATGTTGGAAAGGCTTGGTTGCTAGGCGCCTCACTCCTAGTGAACGACACTTATTGATCTGCAGGTACACGGGGCTACTGTCTCCTCTTCATAATCGCCTTTTCTTCTTGCAGGGCCTTTAGTCTGAATGCAGTCTGCCTTCTTCAGGTGAGGCTTATGTTCTGTATCTACACATTTGCGAAATTAATGGTCATCTGAACGCACGCGCATTAAGGTTCAACTTTATGTGAACTGATTTGTCCCTCGACTCGTCTTAAGAATTTCATTACCTCTCCTCAGGTATGTTAACATCTCTGTCACTGTTTAAGACGTTTTCAAGTAGAGTTTTGTAGGTTTGCAATTTCTTGAAGAATATTTCCCTTCTGGGGTATGACGTCATGTCGTCGGGTAGACGTTCACCGACGTTTCGGGGGAACGTATTCGTACTGCTCTCATTTTCAGGGTGCACCTTACTTCTTAGCATATCTTCTGCCCCGAAGATGGAGACAGTACGTTCCTCCGAAACGTCAGTCAACTTGTACCGGACTTTACGGTGTCACATCCCAGAAGATAGTACTGTTAACAGCGAGCGCTCTGAATGTCTCACCATGTTCACTTCTTTGTGTTTTCTCATATATTTGCTATGTGGGCGGTGGAGGAAGAGATGTAGTGTGGCGTTGTGACCATACCCCGGACGGAGAACGAGTATTTGTGCTGATGACGACGCAAGGCGGTGAACGCCTGACCTCTCACTGCAGTGAGAGCTGCGTGTGGGGGCGACTGAACTGGTCCAGCGGTTGTCACCTGAACAAGGCCACGGAACTGGGCCTCGCCTAGCAACAGCCACGCTTAACGTCAGTTGCCTAGCAACAGCCGAACTGTAGGTGGAAGCGGGGAATGACGTGATCAGTTGGGACACTTGTAACAAGCTCACTGGGGCGCACAGGTCTCGGTCGATTGAACAGCTTCCTAATTGCCATGGGTTCATTTACAGTAATGCGAAAAGGAAACTGACACTGTGGAATACCCAGAAGTAGACGGAAAGACGAGCTCTAAAACTTCTGAAAAGTGTGGCGGACCTCTACCACTCTGAATTGCTGTGTTGGAAAACGTATTAGATTCTCTGTATATCGTAACACAGTGCGCAGATGGAGCGCTGCACGCGGTTGCATGTAAAACTAACTTTTAGTGTATGAGACTTATTAAAACCTGTTTTTTCGTTTAGAGTGCTTGAGATTATGACTGGATTGTGAGTGCGTGAGGTTAATCAACGTCATTACAGATTACCGCAGCAAAGGATGGTCGAGCGTCAACACGTTGCATGAATTCAAGTTATGTAGCGTGTCACGGACAAACAAGCAGTCTTTCGTTTCATTGTATCGTGTCTGTTCCTTCAGTATTCATAATATTTCGATGTTAATAGGTGAAGCATCGGGGTATGCGGTAGCGTAGTTGGTTGAGGCACTGTGCCACATGCCGGAAGGTCCCGAGTTCGATTCCCGATTAAGTCATTGGATTTTCCAATTTACCTAATCCTTCCAGCCGCACTATGGCCCTGGGGTCGACTCAGCCTCTAACAGAAATGAGTACCAGGAATCTTCCTGGGGGTAAAGGGCGGCCGCCGGCCGGCGCGTAAGGCTGACTTCACCGCTATCTATGAGCCGACTGTATAGAAAATGTGGGGGCCTCGACGTCTCATAAACCTGTGGGCCTCCACGGCCTGTTACAGGGATAACTTTACTTAACCTCACCGCCATTTGTGAGCCCATTGTTTAGAAAATGTGGGAGCCTCGACGTCTCACAACCCTGTGGACCTCCACGGCCTGTTACAGGGATAGCTTTACTTAACCTCCCCGCCATCTGTGAGCCGATTGTCTAGAAAATGTGGGAGCCTCGACGTCTCATGAGCTTGTGGGCCTTCACGGCCTCTTACAGGAGTAGCCTTACATATGTTTACCTTTACGTGAAGCGTAATGTAAAGAAGGTTCTTTGCGATTGACTATTTATGTGTGTTATTCGTGGAAGACGGCTTTGAACTTCGGCCTGTACGCATCATTAGATAACATGCAGACCTGTAAAGGACTACGCGGGGAAGCAGGGGAAATTAGTAGCACCAAATGTAAGAAATGACTGCCTTTAAATTATTCACGACTGTTACACCAGTATGTGCTGAAATGTCTTACCTTGTGTTTTCTGTTGATATAGATATATTACGACACCAGAAACAGGATACATCGCAGCTAGCAGCCGCTGAGACACTCACTGGCTGAGCTGACCAAGGCCATGATGTGGTCACAAAGCAATTATGCCCATTGAGTTAGGCTCTGGTTCCACCCATTCACAAGGCAGCTTTCAAGCCTTTTGTATTCCGTATTCTGGGTAAGCATTGGTCCATGGAGACGTGACGTGATTCACGTTTCTTACATGCCCTGACGTCACGGTTGCGCGTGAGAAGCCGAGTGTGTCTGTAACTTCATTCTGGGAAATCTCTCCCCCCCCCCCCCACGTCTTACTATTCTTGAATCGGTTTGTGGAATCGAGTATCATTCCGCGTTCAGTTCAGGACGTTCGGGTTCAGAGAACACGGTCAGTAGGTAAATCTTATGAGTTTAGAAAGTGTTTTCACTAGATGCTTGGAGACTTGCATACACACCCCTTGTTGTTATTTCTTAACACGGTCGTTTGAACTAATAAGCACAGTGATGCCACGCTGCACTTAACGCGATTCATAATTTTCTCAGTCGATCCTCGAGTCGTTTCAAGGGCAATGTAAACTGCAATAACAGATATTTATGTATGGACTTCTTCAGGGTAACATGACGCAATGATCGTTGCCACTTCCCGTCCTATACCCTGAAGCAACATTTTTCTCCGGAACCTTTTATATATACCAGACTATACGGTGTCGTATTGTATTTGTTATGAAGAGACTGAATACGTTTTGAAAATGTCTTGATACTTTCTTTTTATATTTCGTAAATTATTCGTCTTAGAGAATACGTGACATGTTTAAAATATATTATTGGTGTCCTGATTTTATCTTTTTTTTTTCTGAATTATATATTTAGCCTCATCTTTCATAAATATTTGCAAGCGATTAATATTTTATAAAACAGTGGCTTGTTAAGGTACAGGTTGGTTCAGAAGGATGAATTCACTTCAGATTGTGGGTTAAATCAAACGAATCTGTTGATTCTTTAATCACGTTTATTCAGTGCAGATGATGTCAGTGGAAAAGGAGTACAGGAAGAAACGAGAAAATAGAGGTAACAAACGGATGAAGAGAAAAGTATGAAATGGACGACGGAACTGCTTTAACGATACAGCAGAAAGGAGGGGAGGAAATAAAGGTATGTGAGTTACAAGACTTGTCGTTGAACATTCCATAACTACACCAATTTTATGCAGCGCTTTTTTTCGGTCTGTCCGGTCGGTACGCCTACCGGCAAAGTTGCCAAGAGTCACACATCTGCCGGTGCACTGTGTTTCGACCTTGAGGCTGACACCTGGCGGGAGTGTCCGAGCAACCAGGCTTCCAGGAAAAGAGCGCTGTATTTACGAAGGATATCAGCTTCTGGAACTGAGGCGACGTGTGGCCTCTGCTCCCGCTACGTCTCCCTCTACCCCTCGACCCCGAGGGCCGCCAGTTCTGCTCTTGTCGGCGCGCAAACTGCAACATTCACTCTGATTAGTGTACGGCCTACATTTGGTGGTAAAGGTGTAGCTATTACTGTAACAGGCGGTGGAGGCCCATAGGATTGTGAGACGTCGAGGCTCCCACGTTTTCTAGAAAATTGGTTCACAGGTGCCGGTTAGGTTAAGTAAAGCCATCCCTGTAACAGGCCGTGGAGGCAAATAGGGTTTTGAGACATGGAGCCTCCGACATTTTCTAGAAAATCGGTTCACAGATGGGGGTGAAGTTAAGTAAATTATCCCTCAAAAGGCCGTGGAGGCCCATAGGGTTGTGAGACGTCGAGGCTCCGACATTTTCTAGAAAATCGGTTCACAGATGGGGGTGAAGTTAAGTAAATTATCCCTCAAAAGGCCGTGGAGGCCCATAGGGTTGTGAGCAGTCGAGGCTCCCACATTTTCTCTAGAGAGTCGGCTCACAGATGGCGGTGAGGTTAAGTAAAGTTATTCCTGTAACAGGCCGTGGAGGCCAAGAGGGTTGTAAGATGTCGAGGCTCCGACGTTTTCTAGAAAATCAGTTCAGAGATGGCGGCGAGTTTGTCAACCTTACGCGCCGGCCACTCTTTATCCCGCAGGATGTTTCCTGGTACTCATTCTGTTAGAGACTGGGTCGACACCAGGGCCATAGTGCGGCTGGAAGGATTAGGGACATTCCGTAAATAAACTCGACGGGATAACTTTCCGTGACGGACATGTAGTGTGTTGGATGTGAGGTTCTAACGGCGCTACTCTAAAGTGTATTATCGTCTGATATGTGGCACCGTGTAGTCTGGTGGAATACTGTAGACAATTATACGGAACATCTTCATGGCCGAGCAGCTCTGCGCGCTTGCTTGGCTATTTTACCCTGAAAATGAAGGCCGTACGTTGCAAAGAAACGCTTGTAAACTTCTGCGTCACATCCTAGAAGACATAACTCACAGAGACGTGTGTTTTCTACGAGCTGGGAACTGAATTTCGAAATGAATTTGAGGCTCCGAGGGTTTTGAGTTACCGAATAATGCTTACGCTTTCGACTTGGCTCCCAGCCGATGTGTTCTCCGGACTCTCTGTTGTCCCTCTCCAGCCAGTCCGCGAGGGGACTGAAGTAGTCTAGCAGTCCCGTGGCATCCATGTCGCGCTGTCCTGTCAGCACTTCCATCGCGTCAGGCCAAGGCCTCGAGGACCCCATCTGCAGCATCTTCCTGTAATGTTACGTCATAAGGTCCTGTACATACGCGCCAGCTTGTAGCTGTCTTTATGGAGCTGTCACGTTCAGTACATCGAGATTTCGGAGTGTCCGTCAAGAGCTATAATGTTTAGGGGTGTATCAGAGGAAGGGTTGTCTGTGGAAGCCGTAACTAGGGAAGTATCACATGTCAACGGGTTCATACTAACCATGAAGTGACCAACAGTCTATCCCCACAAAGATTACACATTGTGTTATAGAAACTGAATATTTCTTTTCGATTCAAACGTGGTTATGTTGGTAAACCTCCTTTCATTTTTACCACGCGGTATCTATATGCTTAACGTTCTGAGGCGAGCAGGATAAGTTGCGAAGCCAGTGCAGTTTACTTACTCACTTGCGTACCACGTGAATCAGCATTAAATGACATAGTATTCTGCCCACACAGTGTATTTATGAATTCCATATGATTCCCACTGTTAATTGCGTAAAATAGATAATGTTATCCCTGTGTAACAGGCCGTGGAGGCCCATAGGGTTGTGAGACGTCGAGGCTCCCACATTTTCTAGACAGTCGGCTCACAGATGACTGTAAGGTTGTTAGCCTTACGCGCCGGCCGCCCTTTACCCCTGGGGACATAGTACGGCTAGAAGGAGTAGGTCAATTGAAAAAACTGCAATGACACCGGGAATCGAACCCGTGACCTTACGGCTTGTACCATAGGGCTTAAACTAACTACACTACACGGCGGCCCGGGTTCGATCCCGGGTCTGGTCAAGTGGGCTTTGTGGTGGACAAAGTGGCGCCGGGGCAGGTTTTCTCCGAGTACTTCAGTTTCCCCTGCCAATCTTCATTCCACCAATTGCTCCACAATCACCCTCACCTATCATCTGGGGCTGGTACAATAGGCCAGAAGTGGCCGCAGTAC